TCTCTCTCTCTCTCTCTCTCTTTCTCTCTTTCTCTCTTTTTCCCTCTCCCCCCCTCTCTCTTTCTCTCTCTCTCTCTTTCCCTCTCCCTCTCTCCCCCTCTCTCTTTCTCTCTCTCTCTCCCTTTCTCTCTTTTTCCCTCTCCCTCTCTCTCTCCCTCTCTCTCTTTCTCTCTCTCTTTCCCTCTCCCTCTCTCCCCCCTCTCTCTTTCTCTCTCTCTCTCTCTTTCTCTCTTTTTCCCTCTCCCTCTCTCTCTCCCGCTCTCTCTTTCTCTCTCTCTTTCCCTCTTTGCCTCTCCCTCTCTCCCTCTCTCTCTCCCTCTCTCTCTTTCCCTCTCCCCGATCATCCGGATCCAACTTTACCTATAATTTTTCAGCTTCTGCCTTTCGGGAGCAGAAGGGAGCTGCTCCCGCTGTCTTGCTTAGACCCCAATCGCCCCTCGCCACTTTACCTCCCTCCCCCCGCCCCGCAGTGAAAAGTCTGTTTCTCTGCTTAATTCTCTTAGTTCGGTGGCTTCCCCCCCCCCCCCGCTTTCTCCATTGCTCCTTCCTTCGCCGCCGCCGCCGCCGCCAAAATCGTGGCTTGCTCTCTAGCGGGGCGAGGGACGATCCTTTCGCTCAGCGCCCTCCGGTGCCTTCCTCCGTGCACCTGTAGCAACAGCCCCCTCCAGGCTTCGCCGATTGCCTTCTACTGCCTGGTCCCGTCGGCAGAGTCCAGGCCCGGGAACCAAAGAACTCCGGATGACGAGGAAGGTTCGCCTTGCTCTTTTATATAAATCCGTGGGCAACTTCCCGCTCCGCCTGGACCGCGCGAGTGATTCTCTCGAGGTTCGCTGGGTCGCAAAAGGAGCCTCGGCATCGGCTCTGCTAGGCGGTTCAGCCGCACCTTCTTTCCCTTTTGCTCGTTTTGTCTCCAGGAGCCTTTCTGCCCTAAAAAAGACACTGGAGCGATCTACACATCAGAGGGATTATGCCATAAAATAGGGTCACATTTTTATTGCCCGTATTGACAGGGTGTGTTTATTAACAAGCTACAACCGTATATATGGGGCAGATATACAAATCCTTTTGTTCTTGGCGTATTAAAGAAATAAATGGCAACAATTCACGGGAGAAAACCATTAGGTCTGGAAGAGCTAGTGGTAAAAGGAAACCAGACAGCTGTAGCCAAAAAAAAAAGCCATCCTGGTACAGCTACCTAGCTCGTGGCAGGCAGGCTTTTGAAATGAATATATTTTAGAAGTCTCTCTTAACCGAGTTCTCTCTCCCCCAAAATCAATTTGCGGAAGGAAGGAAGGAAGGAAGGAAGGAAGGAAGGAAGGAAGGAAGGAAGGAAGGAAGGAAGGAAGGAAGCCTTCTCTTCTATATTTTTGACCCAAAAACAGTTCCTCAAAAGATACTTGTTTCCCTTGTATCAACCTCCTCTTCTGATTCATTGGAGAAGATGAGAAAACAGCTTATTTTATTTGCAGCTCTCTTAATTCCAGAAAATTAGTGCAAACAAACTGCAGTGTCTTCTCGATATCCTATTAATTTCTTATGGCCCTTAGTGCTGTTTTGGTCTTACATTTGACCAATGATGGAGTCTGGCCAATGAAAACTTGTGTCACAGCTGGGTTCCTTTTTAAAGGTATTGTCAGAGTCTGCTTACCAGTTTTAATGAAATATATTTTCTAGTAGGTAGGTTTAGGATCAAAGTACACTTTTAAAAAAAGTGTCACTGTTGAGTATAAAACACTTCCAAGGAAAACCTTATTTGGAGGGGAAAACACAGAAACTAAGATAACCTTATTGCCACCTCTTTGTTTCCTACACACCTTTCTGTAAAATCATCCTGAAAGCAATCAAAGATTGTGCTTCTTCTTCCTATTTGGTTCTATTGCCTGGTTATATTCAATCAGTCTTAATTCCTGAGTAAATCTGGATAGGATTGCACCCTGATCATTCCCTTCACATAACCAAACAACCCCAAAATAGTCTAAATCTGACTTGCAGCCCAATTTAAAAGGTCTGCCTCGACAAATATGAAAGGATAGTCTTGAAAAAATAAAGCAAAGTAAAATAACTTCTGCAAAGCATACACTGACATTTCTGCTTATTTTTTTTCCCTATGGAGTGAATTCAGATTTTAGAAATGACGAATTAAAAAAACTTTTAAAATAGTCCCAAACTCATCTTAAATCGTTTTTACCGAGAAATTAAAATTGCACCAAATTCCAATATGACTTAAATGTGTTTTCAACTGAAAGAAAAGTGAAATGGGGAAAAAATCATAATGCAATATTACTTTCTGAAAGGCAGAGTACTCCTGCTTGAGATTCTGTCCCCTTTACTGAATTATTTTGACAAGTAATCTTATCTCTGTATAATCAAAAAATAACTTTTGTTAACTTCAGTGGAATTTGCTCCCATGGATTGTATCTTAAAGTCTTCCTGTAGTATTCAGGCCTACTAATTTGCAAATTAACTCTCATTGCTCCTGAAGAGGAAAACTCTTATCTGGAGAAGATCCGGTCTCATCAAATAACCAAATAAACTAAAATTCACCTGCGGTATAAGGGGGAAAAATGCCCAAAATTAGACTGCTTGGAAGGAAATGTCTCTGATAAAATTGCAAGGGATAGCTTCCAGCTCTTTCTCAATATATATTTTGTAAACAGTAATAAAACTTTTTTTTATAGTTATACTATGGTGATGAACTGTGGCAATAAATGGAATGAGACCATATGACAGGTGGCAAGCTACTGTAGAAGACAATTTAAAAATTACAGCAATTACAGCGATTATATATTTTTTTATAATGCACATCATATTTTAAAAGCAGATGTAATGCCATTTGGAACCTTAGTTATTAACCAACTTCCATTAAGTAAAACTACTGCTTTGTGCTTTATTGCTTCAGTCAGAAGATATATACCATCCCTTCTTGTCCTCTCCATTATCAATAGGGGCATAACACTCTAATTGAATTTATGTATACTTTCCTAACCTAAACCCAGTTAAACCGAAGTCATCTATGCATTTGAACAACTTGATGGTTTAACACATTCTTCGTAGCTTACCAAAACTCTTATACAAATATGAGAACATATTAAATGTTGCCTTCTGATAACATCTTTGAGTCAATAAGATTTCTTCATTTACAAACCATTTATGATTTTTAACAATATCTTAAATCACAAAAGAAGCTGTTCTTCCATTTATCAACTTTATTCATCAACATGTAGAATCATTGTTTACGGACCCCTTGTGCTTTGCTTTAGCTAGGGAGAACTGAGGAAAATTTAATATTCTTTTAATATGGATCATAGTAAAAAAAATTACTTACATTATCAAAAACCTATTCCATTCACAATTAATACACTTTAAGATAAAGCCTTTATTTTTGCAGCATGTTGATGACATTTACAACATAATCCTAAATGAAATATGAAAATAACTTCATTTCTATTTCTGTGAAAGATTTACTTAGGAGTGGCTTCTCTATACGTGTGCATATAGGAGTGCAATCTTACTGTATTTTGTATTTCTTGAACATTCTTTCTAAAGACCAAAAAAGATTGACAAGAGTAAAAGAAAAAAAAAGAGCCCTTACAGACCAGTGACATGACATTTTTAGCATTGATTCTGCAGTGCAGCAACTACTTACTTTGTTCTTGAATTCCACACTATTCTAAAGCTTCACTGGATTTATACTACCCTCTTGGTCACAAACTGGCTAAACACCTAATGGGTTCTGTGAAAATAGTCTGTGTCATTTGTTTGTGGAGTAGGAAGATAAGAAATTGAGTCAGTTCAGGAAACCATGTTAAGGATATGCATAGGTAAATCTGGTATGTAAAGATAGTCAAAATTTGCCTCTTCCACCACTAGTTCCCTCAAGCTTATTCTGAATCTGAAACCCTAAATATGTTTATAAAGGAGCAAGCCTAACTTGAACACAAGAGACTCACTTTTGAGTAAATCAGCAGAAGTTTGCACTCTTAAGTTTACAAGTGGCTTCCTTAAGACTGTGATTTTCACGGAAGTGTGTTGGAAGTAAGCCATCATGATTGATGTGGCACAGTAGGACTAAGAAATGTGTGGGTTTTGATGCTGGCAGTTATTCTTTCTCCAAGGAATTGAAAATAATAGTTCATATTATTGAAGCTCTGGATATATGCAGAGCATGCTGAAAAGAATCGCAGCCTCCCCAATTAAAGGTCTTGAGTAGTAATGGAATACGATAAATCTCATATTTGTTCAGAATATATATTTTCAGGATTAGCACATGTCACAAAAACTGTATGTTAAATCAATACATTGGCCTTTTGATCTCCATCTCTCCCCCTCCCACCTGCCACTGCTGCCTAAACATACAAGAAACTAAATTAATTCCAACAGAGAGGCGATAATCTACTTTGTTCAAACATCACATATATATCAATCAAGCCTTAATTTCAGTGGAAGTCATATAAGCGAACATAGACTTGAACAAACAAATTAAAAAACTTATCAGCTTTTATACTAGTGCCTGTAGGCAAAACTTCAAAAATATTTCAGCTAGATATGTAAATCATAACATGTAGTGGCTGATGTGATATCTAGTTTTCTACCACTTACAAGACTTAAAAAATAAACTCACCTAGCTGAGTTTCTTTTAGCATTATGTTCCCCTTTTGCTTCAATTATAACCTATTAAAATTCTTGTTTTCCCAAGACGTACTAAAATGAACATATAGGCAGCATATGATGTGCTTATTCTTCCAAATGGAGGCCTTTCAAGGTCTTTACCTTCCATAAGTTTCTTTACTGTTTTATTGGACTATTTATTGTACGCAGCCCAGGGCCACTTTCTGTGAGATGGTCAAATCAAAATAAAAAATAACTTATTTTATCTAGGCTATCTGGCATGGAATAAATTGTTGCAGAAAGGAAAGCCAGCCAGTTATTGACTACGTAACAAGCTGATTTCCTTCCTTCTTGATGTGATATTGGGGATACAGAATTTGAGAAGGATAAACTTGGGCAACAATTTGCCATATAAATTGTGGGCTGTTCTGTCACATTGCACATTGCGCAATGTGCAATGTGCAATGTTATACTGACATACTGTTTCTAAGTATGATATTTCTCAGTATATCACAACCTTTGTTCTTTACTCACTTTCTTGGAGAAATACACATGGTCACTGGATTCCTGTAGTGGAATAAGACATTTATGATAAATGCTAAACTTTCTTGGTAAATTCTAATATTTCTAATGGAGGAATTTAAAGTATTGTTATAAACATATAGAGCGTTGTTTATTATTCCATTCACATTGTTTTCTAATGGTATTGCCAGAGTGTGCAAAGTGTACACTTCAAACTGGGTAGTGATATTGTGTCAAACACATGTATTGCATAGATAAAGTGAAAACAACAAATGGCTACATATCCCTGTCAACTATGTGCTTGGTGATAAACCCCAAATTTGACTGCTAAGTAATGTGTGTGAAATAGCTCTCACACCAGGAGAGTTTCCAAATAGACTGCTAAGGACAAAGCAACTCTTGTGTGTTTGATCTGCTAAGTTGCAGAAGACTTTAAACACTGCAGATAAAGACTCTGAGTTAAGTGGATTATATTGGCTAAATTAATAAACACAATGGATTGGATGGGTGATTGCTTTGATCTAGTGTAATATTTTAATGTGTGGGCATGGGAGGTTTATCTGATAATTTGATTTTGCTAAGAATAATCTTAAGACATTCACCTTATGAAATAAAAGGATATTATAAGCCAGAATTTCACAATTAATTCCTTCTCCATTTTAAAACTTCCGTAACATCTGAATGTTCTTGTTCTATCTTATTTCACATACTCTCATCCATGTACTTTTTCAAAATGGAATGCTTTATCTTATTGGCATCAGTGTCCGTGTTGCACATTTTGTGAAATAAGCTTAGTTGCCACTCCTGTACAGGCTTTTATATTCCTACTTCATTAGGCTATGGACATTATATTTTCCCCAAGAATTTATGCTCTTTATATGCTCTATACTGTATAAGGAAAAAAAAGTTGCTATTCCTAGCATTTGGCCATCTAATTCTCATCTCATCAAGTAATTGATCTTTGTTTGCTTTACTTCCAGGACACCTGAGTCCCACAGCCTGTACGTTGAGAAAACACAAGACCAATCGGAAGCCTAGAACACCTTTTACAACTTCCCAGCTGCTGGCTTTAGAGCGCAAATTCCGTCAGAAGCAGTATCTATCCATTGCTGAAAGAGCTGAATTCTCAAGTTCCCTCAACCTTACAGAGACCCAAGTCAAAATATGGTTCCAGAACCGGAGGGCCAAGGCAAAAAGACTGCAGGAAGCAGAGCTGGAGAAGTTAAAAATGGCAGCGAAGCCCATGTTGCCATCCGGTTTTAGCCTGCCTTTCCCTATCAACTCGCCTCTCCAGGCAGCCTCTCTCTATGGAACATCATATCCCTTTCACAGACCTGTGCTTCCCATCCCACCTGTAGGACTCTATGCTACTCCTGTGGGCTACAGCATGTATCACTTATCATAAGAAGACCAGAAAGGGATGATGGAGTGTACTCAGTTAAAAAGTGCTGTACAGAACCATGACTGGTCATTTTCCACCTACTTGTAATGTGCCTTATCAAATATATACCTAGGAGTTTGAACCCAGAACCCCGTATTCCGCAACTTGGGAACCAACCAAATGTGAGCTCACCAGCTAGAATCTGATCGTGAATGCAAGTTTTTTTTTAATATGCAGACTTTAAGGATTATAGTTTATTTATATACTGCATAGGGAAGGGGGATTACAGTGATAACTATTCCCATGAAAATGTATGATTTAATTACCAGCCTCCTGGGAGTTCCCAGTAAACCTGTGGAATATCATTCTCACACACACACACACACACACCCCACACACACACACACACACACACACACACGCCCCTTGAAGTGAGAAACTTTTCTTATGCCTGTTTACTCAGAAGGAATATATCTCACTTTGTTCAGTAGTACTTATTCCCATAGAGTGGTGTGAGTGCAGGCATGGAGGTAAAAATGCACACGTATTCTTTGACTGATTGAGGAAGCTTAAACATATAGATGAGCTTTATTTATAAAACCAACTTCAGAAATAAAAGCTGACTTGAGACTGGGTTGGTTTCTGTATTTCTCTTCGGACCCTTCACTGCACTCCAGTCCTGGAAACTGAAATGCAACTGGAATACTTCAGCTGCAAAATGGTGGATGGGGTGGATTGTTGATCTGATTCCTTTATAAAAATTCCCTCCTGGAATATTTCCTGTAGAATGGCACCCATGAAGTGGGACTCCCCACTTCTATCTTGTAAAGGATTTCTACAGATGCAAGTTTTGCCAAGTTTTTGTTTGCAGTTTTTTCTTGTTTGTAAGGCAGCCTTCCGATGGCTACAGGGGTAGGCCATGGCAGAGGAAAACCCAAGAGGCCTCTTTTAGATTTGTCTTGATCCCAGTTGCCCCGTGTCCATTTAATCATTTAAATCAAGTCTGCAGTTCAACTGACATTTTGATATTGGGAACAAACAGGTTAGAGATAGGAAAAGAGGATATAAGAGTTGTGCATATGTGCAGAGACACAGATGAAACCAGAGTTGTTTTGTGTTGCAGAGTTGTTTTGTGTTTATTGCAATAATCTTATGATTTAACCATTATTAGCTTGTAAAAAATGAATTTATGCTTCAATGAGTCTTGACACACCCACAAATCCAGAGAATGAAACAAAGCTATGAGAACAAAGTTGTCTCGCCCACTCTAAAGATAGGACAGCTCTCCTCTTTTTGACTTCTTTCAGGGGAGGGCAGGGAGGAAAGAGTTCTGCTTGGCATATAAGGTACTATATAACCCATTTTTTTAATTGTTTTATTATTAATATGGCTAAACCTTGTGGTAAAGTGTCTACAGAGGAGGCGGGTTACTGAAGACCAGATGTTTCCAAGTTGTGTCTTTAGTATGTCCTCAAGAGTGAGAAGGGATCTGCCCTGCTACAGGCTATGTTGTGAATCTTTTGTCTATTAGTTCAGTGCTGGCCTTTTACCCACCCGTCCCTAAGCCTATATGAAAATCCCTTTGAAAGGGATGCCTTGTACAATTTTATATATTTTATTGAAGATTTATTATTTCTTATCTCTTTATTTAGAATTAAATTAAAAACGTCTTGTTTAATGGTGTGTTGACTTGTCAATGTGTGGAGTTAATTTGTTTCTTAAAAAAAGGTTAATTTTGTCTTGTCTGTTCTGGGTCAAAATCAAAGACTTTGGGGCAGGTCAGAAAATTTTAATTTTAAGAAAATCCCAAAAGCAGACGTTGCAAGTCATTAACAATTTGCTTCTAAAGAATTTTTCTTTGGCCCCTTTACTACAGACTGTTTGGCACTTTTACTATAGACTTCTTCATTACTACAGTTTGTGATTCTGGTAGGATGACTTTATCAAGATGTTCAGAAGGGGGAGAGGAGTGAATAGAATTCACTGGTTCTATTCACACTGGTGATGTCTTAGATCTGAATTAGTTGCTTTTGGAGTACCCAGTTCATTAGGACATGCTCCCTAATAAGTATTAAATGGTTTCACATCCTGTTCCAGATCTATTTGCAGGATCAGGTTAGGAGAAAAATAGTGAGGGGAAAGTTCTCAAAGTGTTAAGGCTGCAAAAAAAATCCAGTTTAAGGGATATCAGACAACCCTGGTGGGTGAGGGAACCATGTACACAGTTGTTTTCTCTTAAAGGATCCAGAACATAAGCACAGTCCATAGGAAAATATAAAGTACCTTCGAGACCGCCTCCTGCCACAGATTACCCCCCACCGACCTGTACGCTCCCACAGGGTGGGTCTCCTCAGGGTGCCGTCAGCCAGGCAGTGGGAGCCCCCACCCTCTGGAACGAACTGCCCCCAGAGATCAGGGTGATCCCTGATCTCCCTTCCTTCCGCCGCGCCCTCAAGACGTGGCTGTTCCAACTAGCGGGACTGGCCTGAGGGATTTTAAAGGGGGTTTTAATTACTTTTAAATTGGACATATTTAAATATTTCGTTTTAATCGAATTTTAATTAAGTATATGTATATATGTTAGTATTTTATTCAATTGTCAGCCGCCCTGAGTCCGTAAGGAGAAGGGCGGGATATAAATGCAATAAATAAATAAATAAATAAATAAATAAATAAATAAAGTGATCTTTTACCACTGGAAATTGCTAGATAAGAATTCATGGAGATGAGAGAATATTACCTTAATACTTCCAATTTAAAAAGTGTCTAGGCTGCAAATCTGCACACCTTTAACAGAGAGTAAACTTAGATTCCGTTGAACTCAGTGGCTTTCAAGTTCTCCTGTGTGTGTGTGTGTGTGTGTGTGTGTGTGTGTGTGTGTGTGTAATTATACTATTACAGGACTAAGACAACGACTTCATTGTCCTTGTCTTTGATCAGGAAGTGCCTCTTGTGTATTCCCAGTTAGTTCAGATGATAAATCTTGTACAGTTTTTTGTTTTTTTTGGTCATGAAGGGACAAATTGTAATGACGACAACAACAATACCTTTGTGTCAGTCCTGACTACTGGTGGTTGCCTAGAAAAATTCCTGCAAGATTTCAGAAGTGGTTTGCCATTGCCTGCTTCCTGGAGCTGGGAGAGAGTGGCTGGCCCAAAGTCATCCAGCTGGCTTGGTGCCATAGGTGGGATTTGAACTCCCTTATGGGTCTCCAGGTTTTTAGCCTCGTACCTTAACCACTTCACCAAACTGCCACTCAACCAAATTATGACTTCTCTTTTTTTCCATGGTTCCTCTTGGGATTGTCTTCAAAAATCATACTTTAGAGATATGGAACTTCACAATCTTGAGATCTGAAAACCATAATTTGAGTGGAACATCTGAATTTATTTTGAAAATAAAACTTCTAAAAAAAAAAAAAAAGAGCAGGTCAGCACTACCAGTTAATTGCTGCGGGAATGTGATGTTAAACAATCATCCTGTAACCCAGGTCCTAATCTTCCACACAGTAATTTCTTGCAGAGTTTAATGGATCAAATTCTTAAATGCATAAGAAATGCTCAATAGGGTTTCACACCCGTAATAGTCTTATGTTTTATTAAAGAATAACTCCCACTAATTCAACAGGGCCTACTTCCAAGGAAAAAAAAACTTGCGTAGAATTGCATTGTTTATGATATCTGCAGCATCCCAATTGGATCAGTGTCTTGGCGTGCCCATTTTACAAATTGGAATGGCTTACGTTAGGCCACTGATTGAAACTCTGCACCAGTTTCCTAAGCAGCAAGCCCTTCTGTACCACAAGGTAACTTTGAACGGACAGCAAAAGTGGCCTGAGTTTGCAGCAAGAGAAGAGAGATGATCCTTGGTTTGGGTATATAGGAGACAGCAGAAGCTCCGGCCCTTTCTTGGAGAATAATCTGGTCTCTCCTAGATTGTTCCTTTCGCAAGGGTGGTATAAGAAAAGGATCCATGGCATTCGGATCTGCTTTGACAAGAACAGGAGGAGCAGCTAGCTGTTTGTGCAGAAGGGACAAGTTGTCTTACACTGCCCGAAATATACGAAGTCTGCTT